ATCTTAGGTCACTTTCTACCATCCTGTAGCCCATCTCTGCAGTTTCCTTTGGGATACTTCTTTAAATGACATAAGAAAGGTAGCTACTTGGAGTAACAACAATAGTTTTACTGCTTTTTATTGTGCAGCCATCTTCTTCAGATGCTTAGATAGGGATGCATGTGGGGGGAGGGTTGTATAATTTGCAATACTCTCCTTTTTTTTTGGTTGATTGCCTATGAATGATCAGAAATGGAGCATACAGGGCGCGTCTACTTGTGCCGATTTAAGACACTTTAGCTCAATTTAAGGGACATTAAGGGTACACATCTACAAGTGGACACCCTTAATGCACCTTAAAAATGGTGATTTGAGGCTATTCACGCCTAAATTTGATACCTACAAAAGCAGGTATCAAATTTAGGTGCAAACAGCTAAAGTGCATTAACGCATATGTAGACTCATTAAGGCACATTAACACTGTGTATGGACTGACTTGGGACTAACTTTAGTCCCATGTCAGTTCATGGACTGCTTTAATGTGTACACATGTCGACGTGAGCCTAACTAGCCTTAATGCACATTAAAGTAATACATATTACATTTAGGTATGCCTAAATACACATGTAGACATGACCACAGACAAGCACTCGAAGGGGAATTTGCTTACCTGTTTCTAACTGAAGATGTTCAAGATGTTATGTCTGACAAATCCTGTCCTATTGCCCTACTACAATCAAGCCATGTTAACATGGTTCTGGCAGTTGCAAAGGAACTTAGGGCAAGTTGCTTGCTCTGCCGTTTTTCATGCCCTTGGTAAAGTGACGCTTGAGGACAGAGCTGAGCTAGTGCAAGTAGTAAACACTACTACCTAAAATGTTTTCATATCCATTGCACAGGGTGCTTGCAAGTCAGAAGTGGAACACAGACAGCATGTTTGTAACATAGAGATAAATGCATAAATAATTTCCTTTACTACTGAAGTCACTTGTTGAAATCAGACCAGAAAAAGGGAAATATTCCCATTATTGTTCCCCTGAATTATCCTATACCATACTTAAAGCTCCTTGAAACCAGTGCAATTTTGACTGAGTTATCCATTCGTTGACATTTAGTGTAGAGCTACCAAGCTTTGGAGTTGATCCTCTGTAATAAGAATTTACTGCCTTTTCAGGCTTAGAGGGATTGAATTTGTTTGCCTTATTAGGTCTTGGAAGTAGGCATGTGGTTTCTCTTATATTTCCAGGGTAAATCTGCCTTCAGTTCCTTTTGCGGGTGAATAGAAAATGCTCACCATCTTTTGACTCCATGTTCTGTGACGGATTTCTTCAGAAACTCCCTCAAGGGTTCTTTTCTTTCTGCTTCAAGCTGGGTGTTCTTGCCACTTGAAACATTTTAAGGAAATCTCTAAATTCTGGTATCCTAGCTACTTCAGTGCTGCAGCATTGACTGGTGCTATTTGAGTAATGTTTTAATGTTCTCATTCCACCATGCTGTTCTGTGTGCTGCTAGCTACTGCATATACTACTTAGGTTCTGTCTCTTCATTTTTATTTCCATTCTGGCCACCTATCTTTTCCTTAGTAGAGGTCCTTTCTATCCTGCAGTGCCAAAGTACCCAACAAACTTTGGGTTATTCAGAGATTGGGGGATACATACCACTTGTGCCAGTTACTTGCCTTTTTACAAGCTACAACCTGCTTACGCTGAAATGGTGAAAGAAATTCATTTCCTTGGAATCTTTTGAGAAATCTGGTTTTGTGGTTGTACTTTGACAGAAAGAGAAGTTAATAAGGCCTCTCCGAAAATCCAGTCTGGGAAGAGCACAGGTTTTTTTTCCGTCATTAAGGTTGACTGGTCTTTCCTTCATCGTCTTTTGACTAAGATCAAGTGCATGGGAATCAAAGCTAGTTTTGATTTAACGGTATGGGTTCTCCAATGGAGTTGTTGACCAGAGAACTCCTTTTGAAAAGAGGCCTTTTGAATTGCTTTCCAATGCTTTTATTGTTGTGCTTCTATAACACACTTCTATTCAAGTGAGTCTGCGTATCACCCACTCTTTTCTGTGTAGTTAGAAAAAGAAAGCTACTATGAAACTCAGGAAGGGAAAGGGGGAACTGCGCACGCGCACACACACATTCTTAATGTCAAGTTCTCTTTCTGTTACTTCCTGGTTTTTATATCACATTTCCTCCAGATTTTCTGCAGAGAAGACCATAGCTTAAAGAACCTGGAACCATATGCCAACATAGATGCCATTTTCATGGACAGTCTAGCTTGCTTGCTTTTTGATACAGCAGCATTTCCCAACCAGCGTGCAGTCAGACGTTAACAGGTGCGCCGTGGAATGTAGAGGGGCGTGGCTTCTGGCAGGGTGTGGCTCTAGCTAATGCCACCACTGCGACCCTGCACTGCCACCATGCCCCAGCTGGCTGCGTACCACCACTCCCCTCCCTCTGCCTGCCTGCCTGCCTTCCCCCCCACCCCCACTCCACATCCGGCCAGTGTGCTCTGGGATGGAAAAAAGGCCATGTAAGTGCCGTAGAATCAAAAAAGTTGGGAAACACTGATACAGTATAAGTGTCTATTTGTCAATTCTTAGCAACAATCCTTATGGATTATTTTTCAGTTGAAGAACATTTTACTTAAGACTTCTATGGACAGGAGACTTCTAGAGTTCAGGTCACTTTCAGCTGGAACTTCTCACAAAATAGTCCTTATAAAATGAGTCTTTTCAATCTGCTGAGGTTGAATAATTCTTTCCAATTAGTCAAAAGGATAATTCTCTGAACAATGACCATCAGTAGGCTTAGGCCCACCTTTTTGTCACAAAATGAATAAGTACATTTTTCTTAACCTGAGGTGATAGGTGCCACACATTGGCCATGCAAATTTTTAGATAAGAGTTGCTTGTGAATTTCCAACAGTTCTCTCTCTTTTTTTGGTTACCCATGATTCAAAATGATGTGGGAAGATAAGGATTTCTGAACTGTGTAGTAGTGTACATTCCTCTTCCCATTAGTCTCCTTTTTCCATCCAAGTTTCTTGTGTAGATATAGAGGTCTTCATTTAATTCTGGATTTGTTGCATTCCAGTTTTCACATGTGCAAAATTAATTGCCAGATAAAGTTTTTATCTAATACATTTTCCAATTTAATTCCTTAATTCCTTTATCTTGAATATTAGTTTCCAGATTAGGTTTTTATTCAAGAAATTTCCTAGTAAAAAAATTTAGCTTTATGCAGCTGGAGTATTGCATCCAGTTTGGGGCTCCACAATTCAAAAAGGATGTGGAGAAGCTTGAGAGAGTCCAGAGCAGAGCTGCGCACATGATCAGAGGTCAGGAAAACAGACCTTACCATGACAGGCTGAGAGCCATGGGGCTCTTTAGCCTGGAAAAGCACAGGCTCAGGGGCGATCTGATGGCCACCTATAAGTTTATCAGCTGTGACCACCAGGATCTGGGGGAACGTTTGTTCACCAGAGCACCCCAAGGCATGACAAGGTCAACCAGTCATAAACTACTACAAGACCGTTTCAGGCTGGACATAAGGAAGAATTTCTTTACTGTCTGAGCCCCCAAGGTCTGGAACAGCCTGCCATCGGAGGTGGTTCAAGCACCTACATTGAACACCTTCCAGAGCAAATTGGATGCTATTCATGCTGGGATCCTATGACCCCAGCTGACTTCCTGCCCTTTGGGTGGGGGGCTGGACTCGATGATCTTCCGAGGTCCCTTCCAGCCCTAATGTCTATGAAATCTATGAAATTCTAATACATCTGTACTATTAAATTATGTTTTACAGTCAGGAATGCAGAAATACATCTTAATTTCAGATTTTTTTCACTTTACTTCTCATTTCTCAAGAGTTTACAAAGCTAATTGTCTTAAATTGGCGACCAGGACAATCAAGACTGTACAACTACTTGATGACTAGGGATCCTGGTTTTCTCTGATTAAAAATAAATCACAAATTCTCTGACTAAAAAAAAAATCAAATTCTCTGACAAAACCCCCAAAATCCATTATTAAAATTAAAAGCCCCCTGCAGCTCCCCTAGCCCTGCTGGTGCCCCTCACTTTCCCTCCAATGACCCCCCCCAACCCTGCTGGTGCCCCTCACTGCCCCCAAAACATCCCCATGCCCTACTCGTGCCTCTTGCCCCCACCCACAGCCCCGGCCCCTCAGCCTTGCTGGAGGGGGCCCCCAGCTGCCAGGGCTATGGAGCCAGGGCCCCAAGTCTGCAGCTCCCTGCCCCCAGCAGCGGGCAGCTGCAGCAGAACCAGCCTGGAGCTGGCTCCCCCACTGCTGGTGCTTGCTCGAGTGGGGGCGGGGCCAGCTCCTGTCTCACCACAGCCCTGCTGGTGCTCCCTGCACAGCCATGACCTCCAACCCCCCAGCCCTGCCAGAGGGGCCCCCAGCTCTCTGCAAGCCCCACTTACCTCAGGCTCCAGGAGCAAAGAGTGGAGCTGTGGCTGACTGAGAGCCTCAGGCCCCACCCTTCCTCCTCCAGGCAGGGCTGGGGTTTCCCATCCTGTTTGCAAACAGCTTTTGCAGGTTGGAGCTCAATCAGCCTGCAAAGCTGTTTGCAAAAGCAGGGAATCCATAGGTTTCTCTGCTAAAAGGAGAAATCCATGTTTTCTGTTTTTCCGTGGGAAACGGAAAACACAGATCCCTGCTAATGACATCCATCTTCCCTGAGTGTCCTCCCATCAGGATTTTGGATAAAGTAAATCCAAAGTATGATTTTCAGTCTGAGGTGATACTATATCAGTGCTTTGGCACATTGAACTTCTGTGTTTTTTTTTCTCTCTGACTTTTTTGGATGTTCTTACTCTGTCCTACACTGGGGGAAAAACTTATTGCCCTGAAAAGGCAGGTAAAAATACAGCAATTCCAAAACAGAACAGAGAAGCAGACGTGGAGGCAAGAGAACTAACCAACTTCGGACTTCAGTCCTAGGTAACAAAACATAATTTTCTTCTTGCTAATAGGAATGTAAATCCTCCTCTGTTTTACAGAGGCAGTTGGTGTAACCAGTCAGCGACCTGTGTTTTGTCCTTCCCACAAAAAGGAACAGTTAAAACTCTATTGTGAAACTTGTGACAAGTTGACATGCCGGGACTGCCAGTTACTGGAACACAAAGAGCACAGGTACAAAAATGTGCAATCTATTTTTGTGCAACTAGCAGAAGATACTTTAATATGCATGATGAATTAACTCTGAATTGCTTGTAGACCTGGTCACAAAACCTATTACTCTTAGTTTATATGAAGAACATAATTACAAAGTGGGGAAAAAAGAGAATTTGCTATCATGCATTTCCATTTAATGATGACAGTCTGCCTTAAAGCTACACTTGATTCCTTAACTACATGCTCTTTGCAAAGTAGTCTTCCTTTTAGTAAGCACGGCTGAGACTTTGCTTATATGTAAATAGTTACTGATTATTGCAGATACCAGTTTATAGAAGAAGCTTTTCAGAACCAGAAAGTGATCATTGAGACGCTTATCACCAAACTAATGGAGAAGACTAAATACATAAAGTTTACAGGGAAGCAGATCCAAAACAGGTATGCATTACATTGTCAAATACTGACAACAGGCTAACACATTTATGTAAAATGTAACTAAATACAATCAGAGCACCAGAGTGTTTTAATACATGTAAGGATTTTTCATTATTGAAAGACTGGAATAATTTTAATATTTTCAGTTGGCTTTGACCCTTGTTTATTATCTTACATTTAGTCTTTGTTCTGTTTATCCTCCATATTTGAAGATCAGCAAAAGGTCAGACTCAGCCCAAAAAGTGACAAAAAAATACCAGAAGGCATTGCAGTATGTCCTTCACTCACCCATATTAATTTTCTTACAATGTATCTATCTTAAAAGGACAGGTTATGACTCATGTTCTTGTAATTAAATGCATGTGACAGATTTATTTGAAGATATGTTTAACGATTATATAATTGGGGTTTGCAATTTAACAGACAAAACTTAGGAGTAACTATACTTGCCCTGGTTACATACCAGGGGTGGGTTCTTGCAAGAGGTTCTACAGAAAAGTTCAAAGGCTTTGGGAATGCAGACCCAATCTTACTCTGGTTGTTGGGAGATGGGGAGCCTTACTATCTTGTTTGTCCCTTGCCTCTTATCTCACCACTTTCTGGATGCTGGATACACACTTTATACTTTGCTCACCATCCCCTTGTTCTTGCATGATAGGAAAAAAGTAATTACACTCTTCCCTCTCTCTTCTTCCCTTCCCCACCCCCCCAGCATCTTTCTCTTAAAATTATGTGCAAGAATATTCTTAATCACCTGATACACTGTATAAGGGAAATCAAGAACTGCTTGTTAAAGTTCCAGTCATACTACCAACAATCAAATGCAGTGTGTCACAGCTGAGTTGCAAACCGCTGGGCCAAGTGGCCAGGCCCAGGGTCAGGAACCAGTGTCCAGAGCCAGGTATTAGATCACAGAAAGAGTCTGGAGGCAGCAGGCAAGCTGGAACCTAGATGCTGAAGGCATTATCAGGGAGCCAGAGTAGTGTTCAGGAGCAAGCCATGGTCAAGAAGCCAGAATTGGAAGGCTGCAAGTCAAGTTAGGACCAGAAAGCCAAAAATTAGGATAGAGTCAGGAAGCTAAACACAGATACTAAAAACAGGAAGCAAAAACAGGCACAAGATCAAGACAAGGTGTTGGGATACAGAGAGATCCACAAGCTCACCAAGAGACTTGTGCAGAGAGCTCACTCCTATCTCTCCTGATGGTTGTATGACTGTGTTTGGGTGGGGTTGGCTTCCTGCCAACACAGCAGCCAGTGATTGGCTGCTAAAAGGTTGCCTCATCCCCAACTGGAGCAGTGATTCATCATCAAACGAACAAAACCGAGAATGCAAAGATGACTACAATATTCTCTTATTTTTGGAGACACCTCATATTTTGGGTAATAACTTCTAACTTGCCATGACAGCTGAATGAATTACCTGGATTTTGTACCATATTTGCTCACATACCACGTGCAGCCTTTTCCCACAAAATCAGCCCTCCAAAATAAGGATGTGTATCTTAAGCAAAAAATATAATTTTTCTTTGATGGAATTCAGACACTGTCCTCTGGTGGCTGCAGAGATGGCTGTTGTTTGTCTCTGACCTATCAAGTAGCAGGGGAGGAGTCCTGCATGGAGTCCATAGTACAGTAAAAGCTCTGTTATCCAGCATCCCCTGGGATGGAGGATGCCAGTTAATCAAATATGTCAGTTAATCAAATGCGCACTGTCTAATATACTTCCCGGCATAAGTATGCCAGGGGACAGGGAGGGGGGCCCTGCACAGGCTGCTTTGCCCTGGGCCATGGGCCGAAGAAGTGACAAAGAAAAACTCAACTTGCGGTGGTGAAACCAGAAGTAGCCTGGAAGCAGTACTTCTGGTTTCACTTTTGCCGTGTCCCTCAGATGCCGGTTAGTAGAGTTTTCTGGCTAATAAAGTGCCGGTTAACACAGCTTTTGCTGTATCTTCATCAGGCTTGTGGTATAAAAACAACACTTTATTTACAGGAATGTATATAAGAGACTGCAGTAAAGAAATAATAGTCTCACTACTGCCCTTGCAAGGGTTTGGGGCCTAGCCTTGTTGCTATCTTGCCACACCAGGAAATTCTTGCTGCCACACCTAGTAGGTCTGTGCGAAGCCACTAGTATTCATTTTGGATTCAGCCAGTTCAGGGGACAGTGATTCGAGGTGTGTGTGTGTGTGTATATATGTATATGTATGTATGTATGTATATGTGTGTGTGTGTGTATGTGTATGTGTGTGTGTGTGTATGTATATATATGTATATATATATATGTATATATATGTATATATATGTATGTATATATATGTGTATATATATGTATGTATATATATGTGTGTATATATATATATATATATATATGAATGATGCATACAAAAAGGAAGCCACTTTAGTCTGGGCAATAAGAAAATAATTCCGTTTCTTAAGTCTGAAGGAGTTGTGGTATTTCGTTGAGAACACTGCTAGTCAACTTAGTTTTATAAATATTTTTTGTTTACAGAATCCTTGAAGTGAACCAGAACCAAAAGCAAGTTGAACAGGACATTAAAGTCGCTATATTTACACTGATGGTGGAAATAAACAAAAAGGGTAAAGCTCTGTTGCATCAGTTAGAGGTAAATTGACTTTTGTTAAAATTATAAGGAACAAAAATTCATCTTATCAGTGTTTTATAGGAGCTTTTAATCCATTAAAATTTGAGTACAGCAAAGGCCAATTTTCAAATAGGGTGTCCCATTAAGAGGAAGTTTCAGATAGGGCTGTGCAGGGAAATATTTCATGCAAAAGCAATTTCCTTTTCCAGTAACTTTGAATTTCTATTTGTATTTCGTTTTCTTGAACCAGAGGTGGCCTTTCTCACAGCCCAGCTTCTTCTGCTTGGTTGTGCAGTCAAGTCATAATCCTGTGCACCATTCATGAAAAGTGTTGCCATCTAAGTGATTTATATCACAAATTCATCTGTCCAAGTTCACAGTAGCAGCAAAACGAAGGAGAGGATTGTGTATGAGGGATCTCATCTAAACACTTATCTAAACACTACTTCAAAGTAAAAAAAATCACCAAAGAAACTTATTTTGTCACTTAAGAAAGGAGTTGGGAATCTGAATATGAAATGTACTAATTTTACACTCCTCTTGCAGAGTACAGCTATATTTCAATTTTATTTTCAGAAAATTGAGATGGAGCCATTTGAGTTTTTAGTGAAGTTGATTATTGAGTTTGTGGATTAGAAAGTAAGAGTTAATCTACTTCATTTGTAAATAGATAGTTTTCACTGGAAGTATTTTTTCTTGTAGAGTCTGGCAAAAGAACATCGGATGAAACTTCTGCAGCAACAGCAGGAAGTGGCAGGTCTTTCTAAACAACTGGAACATGTCATGAATTTTTCCAAATGGGCAGTTTCCAGTGGGAGCAGCACAGCATTGCTATACAGCAAACGTCTGGTAAGGTTAGGAAAAGATAACAGTAGTCCCTTTGTTGCATACAACTGCTATATTAAATGGAGGTAGTTAGCCATGTTAGTCTGAAATTGGACAAAAGGCAGGGTAGATTATGCACTTTAGAGACTGAATGTTGAGCACAAGCTTTCATGAGCTTGAGTTCACTTAATTAGATGCTGTAAAAGGACAGCATAGAGCAGTGTATAAAGTGGAGTGAGTGATTTCAGTACAAAAGGTGGGGAAAAGAGGAAAGTAAGGGGTGTGGTGGTGGGGAGATGGACAATGCTGCAAGAGGAGCATAGGAACAAAGGGGTCACAAAAGCTAATCCAGGTAATGGGAAAATAATTTGTAATCCCTGTTTAAACCATGCTTAACTCAATCTGGTTTGTGGATGACTTCTTGTTCTACAGTTTCCCATTCAAGCTGGATTTTAAAAGTTTGCTGCCTGAGGTCAGCAATGGAGTGTCCAGGGAGGCTAACGTATTCTGCCACAGATCTTTGTGTCTTTCTGCAGCTCATGTCAGATTGGTGTTCATTCATCCTTAAATTTCATAGACATTCGGGCTGGAAGGGACCCCAGAGGATCATTGAGTCCAGCCCCAAATGTAGAGATCCCCCTTCCTGTCCAGTGTAGACAGCAGATGGGCACTGTAAGTGGGTGATGGTATATGATGTTGATAGAGTTGAAGGCAAATGAACCTTGGATGTTGTGCTCCTTGTTGTTTGGTCTGGTGATGATGCAGCCTTTAATGATGTGGAGGCATAGTAGGCATTTGGGTCCTTTAGAAAGCCTGGTACTTCAGTAAGAATGGGAGTTAGTCTGTTGCTTGAGAGATGTCGTTTGAGGTTGGGAGTGCTGTCTGTAAGCCAGGGCAAGTTTGTCCTATGTGACTACTGTGTGATGGTCATTCTTTTCCAGAAGGGGTTGGAGGTCGTTAATGATGTATCTTAGGTGTTCAAGCTGCAGGCTGTAGATAACAACCAGAGGGATTCTCTTGCCTTTTGTCCCCGGGCTGGTATTGTAGCAGGTCAGATCAAGGTCTGGGTCTGGCTTTGTTGATTTGAGTGGCTACAGTTTTGAGATTTTTAATAGTAGGCATCTTTGCTCCAGAACCTTAAGGTGTTTGTTATGGTTGGTGGGATTGGAGCAGATAGTCATAACAGAGCTTGGCTGTAGAGGATGGGTTTAGTGGTGTGCGTAGGGTGAAAGCTGGTGGTGTGAAGATAGCTGTGGCAGTTTCATGGTTTCCAATACAACATGATGGCAATGTAGCCATTACAAATAGTGCCAAGGAAATGAACTTGCTGGGTGGAGTATGTTAGAGTTAGTTTGATGAAGGGATGGAAGTTGTTAAAGTTCTGGTAACATTTCTCCAGAAATTTCTTTTCATGTGTCCATATTATTAAGATGTCATCAATATACCTGAGGAAACAGACTTCAAGGTCTGTCATAAGTAAGTTGGCATATTTGGGGGGCCATGTGAGCTCTGGATTTGACATTTGTTTATAGGTACAGGGAGTCCCCGAACGTGAAATAACTGTGTTAAGTCAAGTAATATCACTCTTAACACTACCAAGACAAGTAAGGCAAGTTTCTGCATCTTTTATATCCAGGAATTCATCTTGTTTGGTGCAGAAATATATAATATTATACATTTTCACAAGATGAAGATGATGTTCAGCTTTTTGACCTATGACCCTCTTGGCTTTGCTCCTGCAGCAATTTCATTTTTAAGGTCTACCACTGAAATGTGGATCGTTCCTCCTCTGTGGAGAGGTATGAAATAATACTATTAACCTCTATTAGGATGAGCTGTTCTGTGTGCACATGGTACACCATTAGGGCAATTTTTCTTACTACTTGCTACACGCTGAACTCAGAGAGTGAAGGAATCCAAACATAATGGATAATTTTTTAAACTAAGGTGACTGTGTGGCTGCCTAGTTGTCAGTCTAGTTTCCTATTAAAGACTTCTGATACTTGCTCAGTGTAACTGACAGCTTCAGTTAGAGATGCTATTGTTTGGTTGGTGTAATCTTTAATGAGGCCTAATATTATGAGTTGGGAGAGACCCTTCAGGGCTAAGGATGCATCAGCTGTGCTGGAATTGGATGCCACCTTATCCTTTGACTGTGGTCTTGGGAATCCTGAGGAAAAAATGCAAAACTTTTTTTTTCTTCAGGTTTTCAAATAGGTCCATGAGTAAACTGAGTCTAAGTATCTTTAAAATCTTGTGAAAGGAAGTCTGTGGTAGAGTTGGGAATAGAACCTGAACCTGGAATAGAACTTGAACCTCCAGTCCGGTGGTTAAACCACAAGGACTATATTGGCAATTTCCCAAGATGCAAATCACTGCTGTATAGCTCTTCAAAGAAAGAACCGTAAAAAGCATGGAGGCCATGTTATGTAACTGAATAGTCACACACAACTTTTTCAGTTTTGCTCTAAATGACTAAAGATGCAAAGAACTTGTGTAAGCTATAAGTACAATATTTTAATTGGTTAGGGACATGAACATCAAACTGAATCATGTTTATTTGTAATTATTTGGAGTCCACATCTAGTTCTTTTTCCTGTCATCAATTCCATATTTGGATTATTACATCCTGGGAAAATCTGGGCAGCTATTTCAATGCCTTAGCAAATTGTAGGGATAATCTCAAAGAGACAAATAAGAATTAAGTGCTTAGATCTTATTAAAGATTAAAGATATCTGGGAATGGACTGTCCAACCTTCTATGTGCTTATAGAATTCTCTTTCAGAAGGGACATTGTACAGAGCAGCGGGTGAGGCAATATCCTCTAAAATATCCTATCACTTGTAGGAGGAGGACCCAACAAACTTAATTGCACAGACAAAGCTGAGAGGCCCTGCCCACAGGGGTGGGGGGTGGGGGGGTGGCTGTGGAAATGCATTGAACAGTTTTCAGAAAGAGGCCCATGTTTTCACCTAACTTTCTGGCATAAACAAAACACCGTTAACTGGGGTGGGAGGAACAGCGGTGTTTCTATTCAGGCAGCAGTGAGGGAGTCCATTGAATTCATGGCTTATTATCATCTGCCTCATTCCTAGTAATCTCTTTCCAGGTGTTACTGACCCTCTCTCCTTTTTAATAGTCTTGATTATTCAAACTGTCCTTTCTTCTGTCGTGTTGCTGTCTGCTAGCCAGTCCTGGTAATGTCTCTCTTTGATTTCACAGCCCTGCAGACTGTTTCTATCCCTAACTAAAAACCTAAACTCGGGTGTGGTAGTATTAAGTCAGGTATAGAAGTGACTAACGGTGACATATTGGAGGTACTGCCAAGCAGCTCAAGAAGGCTAGATTTTGTTTTATAAATCTGAATGAGATATGCGTTTAACTATAATGGTTGTGGAACTAATAGCACAATATTTTTTGACTTTCTTTGCCTAGTTTGTTGTAGTTTTTAAAACTTACTATGTACTCTAGCAAATTATTGGACATTTAAATAGTTATTTGTTTTTTGCTTTCGTCTTCAACTGAACAATATAGTGCTAGCCCCCTAGCATATAAGTGAAGCTTCTGGTTTCTCTTTAAGTAGAGAAAACCATGTTGTGTTATAAATGATGATGTGCCACACTATCTTCAGCCCTTCCCCCTTTTCATAAGCCTAGGTCTGCCCATGCTGTCATTTATAAAAGTTACCCACAGAAGGTAAGTGATCATGCGACATCTGGAGAAGAGTAAACAGATGCATACAGCCAACCATGCTAAAGACTTTTTACAAACTCTTTGAGTAGATAAAAGTGAAGAAATATTATGTAGTCCACCTTATTCTGCTAGTGTCTGAGAACCCTATATTCAGTGTAGCAGAGGTCTAAGCTTACATGTTCCCATATGTCCTTTTAAATTAAAAAACAAACATACATCAAGATTTAGACATTAGGAAATAAAATAAATCTGTCAAAATAGTTGGGGTTGTGTCAAAATAGCTAAACAAAGGGTAATTAATGTCTATGACAAGGGGAAATGAGTTAAACAAAAAAACAGGGGTTCAAGAGACATCTAGGGTAGAACATTTCCTGGAGAAGAAAGGGTTTGAGAAGAAGTCAAGTTAGGAAGCCAAAGAGAATACAGGTACTGAGATCTTTTTTCTTCTCTCTGAAGTTCTTTATTATGTTTATAAATCAGCATGTCGGTCAATGTGTCAGCTGTTTCTCTTGAAATAAAAGCCCAAGAAAACACCTATTCCATCCTAATAAAAACTTACGTTTTAATTAATATTGCATTCACTTGAAATATTTTACTGTTTTGTTTTTGTTTCTGTTTAAACATTATCTAAATACTAAATCAGTAGGGTTGGGGTATTTCAAAGAAAAACGCATATGAGAATTCTGTCAGGCAAAATTTTAAAAATTCTGTTCCAGTTTAAATGGGATTCATTTTATTTGTTACCAGTGTAAATTCCTTATAGTAATGCTTCTGGCCAATAAGATGGGATAATAAACTTTCTGGGTAAAACCGCAAAGATCTGGCACAGAGCAGTGAGACCTGAAAACTTTCAGAAAAGAGTCATGTTAAAGCAACAAAGCCTTAGTTGCATTTAGGGAAGCGTGTGTATTTCTACACTTGGAAGAACTTTGTTTGTTTGTTTTGTTTGTCATATTGTAGATAACAGGTATGCAAAATTACTTGGGGCTGAGCAATTGTGAAACCCTTCTTTTGGCTGATTCAGTTAATTTCCATGCTTTTCATACCAGTTCTGCTATTTTATTCAGATTAATATTAAGTCCTGTTATTGCCTTGCAGGGACAGTGGTAAGAATCATCGTGGAGAACACTTGACCCCTAGTAAATTATATTTTTTCACTTCTAGATTACATATCGGCTACGGTATCTCCTTCGAGCACGATGTGATGCCTCACCAGTGACTAACAACACCATCCAGTTTCATTGTGATCCTAGCTTCTGGGCTCAAAATATTTTCAATCTAGGTATGAAATGGCTCCTATTTTCCCTTTATTGATTTTAGATTTTATCATGTCTATAAAAATAGCTTTGCCAAGTGAATGGTATTCCAGTGTCTTTCATGCATTCTGCGACACACCTCTAATTCATAGAAAGAAATTATCCTATAAAGCATCTTTGTTCTCATGCCACAGAGCATTGAGTCAGTGGCAGCTTTTCCAGGCAGTAAACCTCTGGCAGTACCTTTATGATTTTAGCAGACTGAGGTATAAACCATATGGAACTGGGATAAAGGGAGAAATAGGGGCAAAGAACAGTGAATGAAAAATTATCAAGCAATAGTTCTGGTTTTAAAAGGTGTGAAAAAGTTTTCTGGTGGAGTTGGATCCTCTCTCCTAAATCTTGCCTTTGCTACGTGCCTTTCCTATCATGCTTTTCATGCACATAAATGGAGAGATGTGCAAATGTGGCTCATCCTTACTATACCATATCTTCCAGGCAGATTGGATTGTTATCACCAGGCTGGTATTTGCATTTTCCTTTCCACCTTCCAGTGGCTAGTACTCTATGGCAGTTATTCATTTTACAGGCAGTAGTTTTTTCAATGAATCTACTGAGTGTACATGCTAAACCTAATAGAAAAAAGCAGTACAGTAGAATCATGGTCAGAAATTAGTTTCTAGTATTTCTCTCTTAAAGGTTGTGACAAATGCTGTGTCTTTCTTCTGCGTTTGCTAAGGTTTTTTTTTTCTTTTGGTTGTCACTATCTCAGTCTTTCTGTAAGAGCGTAGCACTACACATACCTGTCAGGCCTCTTGGCCTTTGGTCAGAAACTGCAGACAGTTTTATTCGGTAGAAAAAAGGTGGAAAGGGAGAATCTTGGTCTAAAACGTGCTTCTATAACAAGCTCTGTTCTTAGAGGGACCAAACAAAAAAAAAAAAAAAAAAATCCTCCAAGCTGCTTTTCTGCCACTAACTGGGAAACAGAATAAGAAGAGGGGCTCTGACTCTATTTCCAGAAATGTATCTTCCAGCCATGTGGTAATGAGTACTTGAATAAACATATATAAAGCTGTTTGCTCTTTCTTTCTGATTCACCACTGAATTGCTCGTTCTATTTGTGTATGCTCTATTTCTGAGAAACACTGACGTGGAAGATTGAATATTTCAGTTTATCAGAATGAAGTCATGAATAACTTTTTCTAGGATTTCATATTTTAGAAGTTGCAGACTCCAATTGAATTAAGTTTTTAACCATTGTTGGTGTGAGATTCTGGAGGCTTCAGTAAGTACTGGGATAAACAAATTAAGTAGTTTTAGGATAAAGTTTAATAAGCTTTAGGAAAGTACTATAACACAGCTGCCTGCAATTGTACGGTACGGGATCGACAACTCAAGATGTCCTTCTGTTCCTGTGTCCCTAACTGTTTACCCAACCTTCAGACTGTAGGATTTTCTTGGTCTTTATAAAATGAGGGACATAATGAAAAATTCAGTTTTCACAAACAGTAAAATGAATATTAAAACATTTGTTTATTTTTAATCAGGTTCTTTGGTAATTGAAGATAAAGAAACTCCACCACACGTGCCCAAGAGCCCTGTGATGGAACCAAATTTACAGCCACAAAGTGGTTTACCTACAAACCAGCTATCTAAGTTTCCAACACAGATCAATTTAGCTCAGCTACGACTCCAGCACATGCAGCAACAGGTCATGGCTCAAAGGCAACAGGCTCAGCGAAGGGCAGGTCCAGTGGGTCTACCAAATCCGAGAGTTCCAGGACCAGTGCAGCAAGCTCCTACTCATCAGGTGAATGAGGAGTGTTTCAGGGTGAAGACGTGTCTGATTGCTATTGTTCCACCAGAAAAATAATATAGTAGCTTCTACAGGTGTTATTTCACAGGACCACAAACTGGTAATGTGAAACTATAATTTTTAAAGAACCCATGTTGTATTAATTTTACTAAGTCTTCATTGCATGTACCTGTAGAAGTTTCAGATAACTTTTAAGTATTGCCTCTTGCCCCAAAAGTTGGAACTATCTCATCAAAACCTTTTGAGTCTTACTCTGGGTCTAATGTTCAAGATGCATTGGTGCAGAGATCTGAATTCTCCTTCATTCAGACAAACGATTCAATACTATTTCAATACTCTAATTTGTTTGTCATATATCCAGAAGTTTGAATGGGAAATTGAGCCAAGAGCATTTTCAGAAGTGTTTATCAGTGTTCAGACAACTAATTGAGGGATTCTTTTCTTCCAGCATCCACCTCCACGCTTGATTAACTTTCAGAATCACAGCCCCAAGTCTAATGGGTCAGTTCTTCCTGCACAACCACAGATGAGGTTTCCCCAGGCCCAGAGCATACCAAAACAAACCATAAAACCCAACCCATTACAGATGGCATTCTTGGCACAGCAAGCTATCAAACAGGTAAACTGTCTTTTTACTTCACCACTCAAACTAAGGCTAAATTCTGATTTTATAATTTTACATTCATTTAACTTCCAGTGTGAGTTTACAGTGTACAGAGACTGCTTGTCTGTGAGAAGATACCTGAAGTTTTTTTCAAAATATTAATGAGATGAGATCATTGTCCATCCCATTCTGTCTATTCTAAATAGATGAAGAAAAGTTAAAGTAGTAACTTGAAGTATATTTTGTTTTGATGTCTTTTGACCACAATGCAGAATGTAATACAACCGTGTCCGGGACACTGCAGTCAATGGACTGGCTAGTTCACTTGTAACCAGGCAAAAGCTTTATTAAGCATCTACAATGATACTTTGGAGTTAGACAGATCTGGAGACTTACAGATGAAGAGAGGAAATAAACTGTGGACTTCTGATCAAGTGATCAATCCCAAGCTGATCAGTGGTTGAAGTGGAGTAAAATTAAATACATCAGATACACTTTAGTGCTTCAGTGAGGCAAGCATATATTACACAGCATATTGATGTCCATATGTTCAATATTTTGAAGAAAAAGAATGCAGATTACCATACCACCATAGAAGGACTCTTGTCTGTGACCTGAAAAATGGTAAAATAGGACCATGGTGCTTCTTGCAGTGACCTCAGTTGCATCAGAGAGGAACTTTGAAATGAACTGAAGAAAGCTGTACAGCCCATATTAGAACCAGTAGTAACAAGAAGCACCTGAATCTGTGAGCCTCTGAAAGAGTAGTCTTTGTAAGTCTCTGTCTCAAGTATTTTCATTATGCTGTAAAGTCTCCTGGAACTCAACTGTTAAACAGAATTACTGGAGAAGAATTGTGCAGAATCAAAATCTGCTTTCAGTTATATCTATGAAATTTTAGATCTAAACAAGGGTGAAATTTGGCCTGACTTTACTTTTTCATTCTTGTTATTGGGTCAGTACGGTTGTTGCTGGCTAGAGTCCCAATCAGTGGTTCGTTTTTGTTTTGCTTCATTTTTCTGTTTGATAAATGACAAAAGAACCTCTTGGATTCAAATACCCAATATTTCCTACTGAAAAACCTGGTTTATAATACTAAAAATATAACAGCAATGTCATATTCAGCTTATTATCTGTAACACATTCATGCTACTAAAACTATTATAGTCAATATTGTGCCAATAAAATCCCAGACATATTAATGCATATTAACTTCAGGGGGCAGGGGTTTTTTAATTTTAAAAATCTTATTTGTTTCTTCTACATGTTGTTTCTTTTCTGCTTTTCTTCTTCCTGTGTCTTGAGTGCTTTGTTTTTGAAAATTGATGGCTGCAGAGTAAATAAAGTTTTCAGCTCTGCTTTCAGCTCATTCAGCTAACATGCTTGCATAGCTCAACCATTCCTTGGTGTCCATATACATAACAGACATCTATTATGCAAAGCAGCAATAGTGAGTTGTGGGTTTTCATTTTTCTTTTTTTTAGTGGCAGATCAGCAGTGGACAAACTTCAGCTGCCCCATCAACTGCAAGCAGCACAACATCCACCCCATCCAGTCCCACAGTTACTAGTGCTGCAGGATATGATGGAAAGACATATGGTCCACCTCTGATAGATTTGAGTTCTCCACTGGGTAGCTCCTATAACCTACCTTCTCTTCCTGATGTAAGGGTAACATACAAACAGTTTACAGTTTTTATTTTGAAGCGAGGTCAGTGTGCATGAAAGGTGAACAGTCTTGCAGACTGAAATTCTATTTTCTGCCTTTCCAAAATGATACAATGTAGAAAGCAACAGTCCAGATTTGTCTGCATGGTCCTGGAAGTGTTTCAGTACTATTCAAGAGGGACTGCCATAAAATGTTAGTTTTATCAGAGTGACAGTGCATATTGTTACTGCACTCTTATATAGATGCATACTGGCCTTAATCCTCCATCATCTTGAGGTACTGCCTACAAAATTGAATTTCCTTAATTTTGAGTGCCAGTGACCACAGTAAGATTTGGTGATGTTATATGATAAACCTAAAACCTTTAATATATGCCTGAAACTTCTAGTTTCTTGAAAAAAAATGCCTTAAGTCATTCATCTTTTTCATTACCTTTAGAGTGGGGGGTGGGAATAAGGAGCTCATCTTTCTCCTCAACATTTGTGTATCCAGGGGAGGGAACTTTATAAATTTAGCATTTATTATGTAAGGGAGACTTGCTGCTTGTAAGCACTCATCAGTTGATCCATTGTAAATGTTTCATTTGTCCACTCCTGTTGTGTAGTAAGTGAATCAATTACTTGCTCTTAAATGAAAGAGTTGATAAATTATTAGTTAACTCTCTCTTACTAAGAGACAGAGTGCATACATAAAAGAGGGACTGGAGATTCAGCTGACCTGCAGCAAGCCTCTTTGTACCATTTTCAATCAATAATAGTTTTATTAGAGGCCCAAACTAGACAACTAAATCAGAAATTTTTAGCTTTAAGCAGTCCACTTCATTGTGCAGAAAAAAGTAGACTTATTTGCGAACTTTTGAAAATTATTTTAATTTTCACGCTTTATTGTAGTTACTTGTCACCAGAATCTCCCTATTTCTCCCTTCTGTCTCGGGTTTTCCCTGATGTAGTCTCAGACCTTAAATAGATTACCTGATTTTTTTTTTTTTTAACTGAATGCATTGACACAGATATTGCGACAACACAGCACAATGAGGTAGATTTGCAAAAAACATATCGTGTGTGAATGTTTTAAATTCTGTTCCCAAGTTAGGTTGTTCAGTTTTCTAGCTGAACAGTATTGTTCTACAGCACTAGGGTTTCAAAAGGCCATCTCAATTGTTGAATTTGTATAATAGTCGAAGTAAGTGATGTTTTTACTGTATTTACTCAAATCTAAGATGAGGCTTTACAGTATTTCCCCAAAAGGGGGTGGAGGGGCTTGTCTTAGATTTGCTGGTAAGTAGGGGGTGGGGGAGGGGCAGCTGGGGGG